TTGGGATTAAAATCAGGCTAGAATGGTTATATCAATCAGTATACTTCCTGGTATCAGACAGGCTAATTCATAGCCAAGTTTAATAATATTATCTATATTTGAGTCAAAAAAGCGCTAGAGACTTGAATTTAATATTGGAAATCATATAGCAAATTTGATTCGTAGGCGGATTTGGAGGTATATTTGAGGTATATTTGAAATCTGTCCCAGAATCCCCAATATTGCCTATATGATATGCATTTTAGGCTTCTTTCAGTTTTTCATTCTGATTTTTTCCGCACTTAGAGGTGAGACTTGATAAAAGGTGTGACTTTGAAGTGTGATTTAGAGGTGAGACTTAGAATATGGTATGCATTTTAGGCTTGCATGGTCAGGTCTAGCTCAAATTACATCATTTTGTTCCTCATTTTTCGATGGCTTCTCTAGATGCAAGCAGAATAGCATAAAATTATTATTCATATTGGGTTTGCAATGTCAGGCCCAGCTCAAATTACGTCACTTTGTTCTTTGATTTTTGATAGTCTCTCCTAAGGCAAACAGAATAGTAATTTTTTTTGATATATTATTTGGGATTAAAATCAGGCTAGAATGGCTATATCAAACAGTATAATTCTTGATATTTAAAGGTTAATTCTAAGCCAAGTTCGATATCATCATCTAGAATTGAGTCAAAATGTGCTAGAGTTTTAAATTCGATAATTGATTTGTATATCTAGAATTGATTCATTAGTGAACAGAAATCTTTCTGAGTATTATTTGGATTTTTGTTCCAGAACCCCCTTTTTGGTCTATATGCTATTTCAAATATGTTAGATGGATCAGAAGATGATATTGTTTATGAAGAAATTGACAAATTAATTCAGAATATGAAAAAGAAATCTAGATGAATTAGATAATGATGTTGAAATTGTTTAAAATTAATAATATTATTATAAAATAAATAAAGTATAATCATGCTATAAATTCATTATAAATAAATTTGTTTTATTATTTATTTTATAAAACCCGTATTAACTATTATTTTATAAAGGGGTGCTTATTTTCGAAGGTGCTTACTTTTAGTTTTTACAAACATTATGGCAAAAGTAGCAGGGGTGCTTATTTTCAGGGGGTGATTAATTTCAAGATTTTACGGTACTTTATGAGGTCTAAGTTTCATGTTGAATGAATATCCCAGAAACCTGCCAAATATTTTGGATTCATTATGTCTTCAAAATTTTAAATTAGCAGCTAATAATAACGAATATGAATACTCTGAACGGATAAAATCCATATTAAAACAAATTTACATTACGAATTCTTGAAGTTTGCCGCAGTATCAAAACAGAGCTTACGAATTAAACTTTGGAATTGCAGTATTCGGAAGTTCTAGCCATTATTCTATTTAACAATTGATATGAAACTTTAATATCTGTAATATGCAGTAACTAAAATAATGTAACAGTTTTTTTTTCGATTTACGATCATATTATACAAAACACCCCTTTTTGTCCCTGACATTCCCTTATTTATGAAATCCGATGCATTACGAAAAATTTTTTTCTAGATATGGAAGGATCACCAGATTTTCAATGATCGTCCAAGGCCTATGGCATTCATATTCTTTGAACTAGTCGATACTATCAAACCGTTCTATGAAGAACATTGGTGTTGCATGATCTAATGCTATATATAAATGATTGCTACAAAGATTTAATATAAATATACAAAAAAAAAAAAAATAAGATAAAATAAAACTATCAGTTTATATAATTAATTATTCCATTGTTTATCAAATTAAAAATATCGTTGTTTAAAACTTTGTTTATAACGCAGTGTAACGTTAACGGTAATTTGTGATTTTCCTTATAAATGATTATTAATGAATTATCATAATTTTTAAACGTTCTCATTTTGACGAACTATAAATTTAATCACCTAAACCAATTTTTTTATTTTAATTTAATAAATTAATAGAATTCATGGCGTGTAAAAAATATAAATTACTTAACCTTTTCATTTTCATATTAAGCTATTTATTCTTTAAAGTAGGGTCATTTACTCCTGAGGGACGTTTATCTCATTATTCTGTCCTTGTTGGGAATAAACTGTATTTTTTTGGCGGATATGTTGATAATGCTAAATCATGTACAAATCAAGTATTTTATCTCGACTTATCTCAGTCATTTAATTTAGCTGTTCCACCTTGGGTTTCCCTTACGCAAAATGCCGGAATACCATTCAAAAGTTGCTGGGGAACTACATTATTGAATGATAAGGAACAAACTATTAATTTATTCGGTGGAATGATGTATAATGATCTATATCAAGATGCATTTGTATCAAATGTTCATTCATTTAATTTAAATTCTTTATCTTGGAATGTACCTAATGTCAAAGGTACTCCACCAGAAAGACGCAGAAATATAAATGGGGTTATTGATAATACCGGAAAAATATATATTTTTGGTGGAAATGCTGATAAGTTTTTAGGTTCACAAACAATTATACGTTACAATGATATGGTCATCCTAAATACAGCTGAATTATCATGGGTAATCATTCCAGCTAGTAAGCCGTATGCGCAAAGTTTATATACTGCAACAATGTTATCTAATGGAGTTATTGTATATATTGGTGGTCTTGAAGACACTGCAACAACAATAGTTGACATTAAAAACATTAACCTTTTTGATACAAATAACTTAACTTGGTCAGTAAAAGTATGTATCAAGATAATAATATTTAATAAAATAATAGTTAGAATTTAATGATGATATCAATTTATTTATTCATAGATTGCAACAGCTTCAAATATAATTCAAAATCGTTATAAACAAACTGCAGTCTTAGGTATATGATAATGATTTAATGTTATATAATATTTAATTCTATTAATTTATTTGTCACTTTTTGTAAAATAGCTCCAGATGGTAAAAAAATCATTATTTATGGTGGTTCTAAAGATATGAATGATGCGCAAGTTGTTCCAGATTTGTTTGTTTTAAATATGGAAACCGAACAATTTGAATTTATGGTGCCACCAGT